TATGAAACTATATTGTGAACTAATTCTAGTTTAAAAACAGCAGTTATATTTTTCAGGTAAATTTAACCATTGCTTTTTTTTTTTTTTTTAGTAATTTAGTTTTGATGTAGACTATTTTTAAAAGTTTTGTAGAACTTGAGAGTGGTTATTGGCTGTTTATTCAACTTTTACTTGTTTGGTCCTCCTTATGCTATCTCTAAAGTTCCACATGGAAGAAGTTTAGAAGGAATAAACCAAACTTCTTTTATAAGAAACTGTATAAAATTGACACTGACTGTTTACATGAACTTTAGTATACAGTAATGAGTTTAAATGCTCCTGTTTTGGTGAACCAGTGGTAGGTCATGAAATTAATTCCTTTTGATCTTAAATTGAAGTAAATACCACAGAAAATCCTATTTCACATATATTTGACAGCTCAGAGAATAAAGGGTAGATGTGCTTCTTTGGGTATTGGTATGTTTTCCTTAGCTACATCCCCAGCATTTGGAATCTATAATGTTATTATATATTAGAAAGTAAATCCCTGTCTGATTTATAGTGATTAAGTGTTCAAATGTGTGGTCTATCAACATTTGAATTTATTTTCTCAGCAAAAAGATAACTAAACTTTAGACTTTATAAACACTCAGATCAACTTTTTTTCAGGTATTTTATTCATGTGATATCTCCCTCCCTCCCTCCCTCCCTCCCCAGTGTGGGAAGAATTTTGATGCTGTACTATTTGGTTAGCTCGATTTATGCATGCATTTTTTCTTTTTTATTGATTAGTCTGATGGAATAATATAGAAACATTTTTTAAAAAAAATTAAACAGAATGTGGGGTTTCACTGAATCTGGTGTATATGGTTTATAACGAGAACTACCTCTGAAACTGGAATTCAAGTTGACGTTCTACAAAACAATGATACCCCTCAAAGTTTGGCCCATGGCATGAATGACAGTCTGAATTTCTTATGAATGCCAGCATTTTTTTTATGAGTAGCCTGACAATTTATGGCAGAGGGCTCCTATATACTTAGGCTGGTGGATACACTTGAAATTATGGGAAAGCATCAAGGACTGCTATAGAGGCACCCATTGACAAGAGGGCATTGTAGGACCCTATTAGGTTGATTGACAGCCTAAAGAGCAAACTGGGATAGTTAGAAGTAATATGCTGAAGAAATTATGCCAACAAAACCTAATCTATTCCGTTTTTCAACATACAGCTTTCTCTCCTTCAGGATCCCTACACCCAACATTTTTGGTCACACCAAATCAACAACCAACACCAAGACTCTGATTCATAGGCACAATGGCATGAACGCTATAAGAACATTGTCAACCTTCTTTGTGTTTCAGAATAGTGGGATCCATATTTATAATGCTCATACTGTACATAGCAATATCTACATAGATCTGAAGCAGGCTGCATAGACTACAGTCCTTTCCCTATTTCCCTACCATAGCCATTTCTGGTCTTCCTTATGCAATACAAGGAGTTGTTCTCAAGGTTAATGACATAATCAGGTTTAAGGGGAAATAAGCAGAATGCCTAATGGGTTTCTTTTTCTGATTGCAGTAGTTACTCTCACAGTTCCAGATAAGCAATGAAGATATCATCCTGCCATTGCATATGCGGTGAATTAGAAGATCCATAGGAAAGGGGATTTTCTCTCCTATTTCTTCAACAATTATTTCAAAAGCTCCACATTTATAATTCTGGGAATATATGTATGTATGTATGTATGTATGTTCTGGTCCTGTGAAGTGGTAACTAAAGCAGGTTTAGACCGAACCCTGTTTTCCACTGAAATTTAGAGCAATGTGGCTAACCTTCTCCCCTTATCAGTGTAGCTTCTGCTGAAAAGAATAAAAGAATAAATAAAAGACAGTAGAGGGCAGCAAAACCATGGAGATTTTTCACCAGAAATGTCCTGCAGTACTTTATATCAATATTTTTTACAAGTTAAACGGCTCATGCTTGTTTTCAATCTCACGTCAGAGAGATGGCAGATTTTACCACTGGTACAATGTCTGTTTTGGCTTCCAGATTATTTTAGGATCAGATTAAACCATTATTTTTTTTGTTGTTATTCTCCACATTTATGCTACAATGAGATGGTTCCTTTGTAAACCTTTCTTTTCAACCCCCCCCAACTTATACATTATAAAAAAAAAAAATAAATTCAAACATGGTGCTGATAATAGCTGCTGACACTAGATGCCCTCAGACAAATAAGTGTTTTTCTTTTTGAGATGTGCCCGCTAGCCCTGCTTTGACATATTTAAAATCTTGTAATACATTTGATATCTTATTCTATCAAGCAAGGCAAAAGGTGACATGTTAGCAATTAGTATTATAAAATTAGTATTTTCATAGTGGGGTAAAATTTCAGTGGAGTTAGTTCTGTTCTTATACCACCAGCAATATCCTGAATGAATTGCCACATTAAAAGTTTAATAAATGCACAGGCTGATGAAATGTATATGGTAGCTGTTTGCCTAATGATATAGACATACAATTGGAAGAGATTTTTCATACACAACGAAAGGCCTTGTGCAGTCTTAGCAGCTATTGTCTGGCCAATTAGACCAAAATTGCAGAGAGACACTCTTTGTGGATGATTAATTGGGGGGAGGGGGAATATTTCTTCTTGGACCAAATGAGCAATCAGATTTATTTATTTTAGAGATATATATGGCTGCTCATCTTGTGCAATTGTGATTCTGGGCAGTGCACCATCAACAAACAAGTAAATAATAACGAAGTGTAGCTAAAAACCACCACAAAAATTTAATAGACCATTGGAATCCAAATTTCTATCACAGCCCTCCAGGCAGGAACGCCAATCAACTGGGCCCTGAAGAAAGAACCAGGGTTTTAGTGCCTTTCTAAAGGCCAGTGGGGTTGGGGGCAATTGTATATTACAGGGGGATCATTCAGAGGGCAGGGGCTGTGACAGAAATGGCACCAAATGACGTTTCTTCAGGGAAGGGACCCAAAGTGTGACCATCCTTTTGAAGCATGTGGGCTGGGCAGATACTGCTGGGGTTAGGCAATCTGAAATAACCCAGTCTTGGTTATGGAGGGCTTTATTGGTGATAACCAGGTGTTGGTAATGGTAAAACTGAGTCCTACAAGATGCAGCCTTTAACCTCTTCAACTGGCATTTGGTCAGTGATTGAGAAGAGAGCATTTTTTCCACCTTGCTCCAGATGTTCACATGCTCCCAAAATATATTCTGGATGTTGAAGGAGCTTCCAGAGGAAATTCATCAACATGAACAATCTCTTAGGTTAGGAATGTCACTGTACTGATTATGGAGTAGGTTGCCAGACCCATCTGCCTATGACTAGATATCGTGATTTCCATAAGGAGTGTGATCTCCTTCTTTTATTCTGAATTTTTCTGTTCTTGGTTGGTCTTGTATCAAGAGCTCCTTGATATGAATCAGTCCCTTCCTTGTCTTTTTTCTAGACCATTTGCCAATTAGATGAAGATTTCTTTTATTGTTTCTTGAAGTGGATTTAAAGGGTTCTTTTGCAGTCTTATAACTTCATTTATTTTTTATTTCAAGCTTTTTGGTAAGATGCTTTGTGAAGAACAAAGTCAAGAAACAGGATAGCCAAGTCAACAGGATAGCCAAGTCAACAGGATAGCCAAAGAAACAGGATAGCCAACACCAGTCAAGAAACAGGATAGCCAAGTAAGTGTAAACTACCTAAATGCTATTACTTCCATTCAGATTTTGTTTTTAATTACTTTTTTTGTTTTTGACTTTTGAGCCAGACTGTACTCTTGGTGACTACATGGACAAGCCCATGCAGTTTTCTAGGCAGCATTTTCAGAAATGGTTTGCCCTTACCTTCTTCCTAGGGCTGAGACTGGCCCAAAGTCACCTATTTGGCTTCCATTCCTAAGATAGGATAGAACACAGGTTTCCTCACTCCCAGGACAACAGTTTAACCACTACACCAAGCTGGTCTCTTGATTACTGTTACATCATCCTTACTCATATGATCGCTTTGCATGCAAACGCTTAAAAAATAATTCGTTCCCCCACATTATGGTAAAGTGAGGTTGAGAGAGTTTGGCTTGCTGAAGGCTGTAGAATGACTTAACTGCCAGGAATGTCTTGGCTAGTGACTCATTTCAATTTCCTTTGAAATGGAATGTATTCTCATTTCGGCATTGCAATAAAACACCTAAGCTTAACAGATACTTCCTGCACAGAAACATGTTGCACAAAGTCCTTCAGAAGCAGTTTTACCCTAGTGTTAAGAAAGATTAGACCTAATAGGATTTGGGACGCTCACTCTATCTGTTGCAAAACCTGAACCTTATTTATTTAGAGGAGAAGATGGGTCTCATCAGTCACATACTTCTTCTTTTTCTTTTTTACTTCTCTGGGATACATCCAGCAACTTCAACCTGTGTCACTGGATGTTCCTGTTTCAATGCCACTTTTGGAAGGTAAGAACATTTGACAACACTATAGAAAAGGGCCTTTAGCAGAATAACATCCTATGGGGAAATTCAGCCAAACTGCACCATGAAATGAATATGGTAATAAACACTAAGGCTGACATCCTATCTAGATTTGAATATAAACTACAGAAAACTGAATAAACTTGGATATGATTGATCTGTGTACTCCACTCCTTGGTTCTACCACTCATTTTTCAGTGGAAATGAGTGCCTGCTAACTGAATAGCCAGATTCAACCCAGATGTATCTTAATGTATTTCTGAAATACATTTATGTGATTTATTCCTGTAATATTAGGAGATTTTGGATATTATAGAAATAATGCTTCAAATGTCATTTTTGTTTTATAATTTGGAAATGAAGAATAACCAATGTCACTGTTATGATCCTGGAGTGAGGGATGGAAGGGAAAGCCGCTGGGTTGAATGATACAGCACAGAGTGAATTAAAAATGAATGCCAGCTACCCATAAAAACATCGAGTTCAATGTTCTGATTTACTTTCTAGGAGTTTGTTTTGCATATCTACATTTTTGAGAAAGATCCCAGAAGGTATCCCTCAAGATATCAAAAAAATCAGAATTGAAAATTCCCTGCTGACAGAATTGTTTCGTGGCGCCTTCTCTAACGTTAGTGCCTTGCAATATCTCTGGCTTAATTTTAATAACATCACAGTCATGGATCTAAAAAGTCTTGAGCACCTGAAGGATTTGACAGAGCTGAGATTTCAGGGGAACAGATTGCGTTCAATACCATGGACAGCATTCAGAGATACACCAGCTTTAGAAATACTCGATCTGAAATGCAACAGGCTTGATGTCCTCCCAGAACACGCTTTCCGCTACCTTTCTAGGCTGACCTACTTAGACTTATCTTGCAATGAGCTTACTGTCATCTCCAAAGAAGTGTTCTATAATTGGCCTGTCTACCAAAAAATCCAGAAGAAATCAGAAACCATTTCCAGTACCGTCTTGGCTTTGCATGATAACCCATGGATATGTGACTGCCGTCTGCGAGGGTTTGTCCAGTTCATCAATTCTCTTGGCCCACCTATTGTTCTAATCAATTCCTACTTAACTTGTTCAAGTCCTAAAACTAAGGCAGGCAAATACTTCCATGAAGTGGAGCTGAACAGCTGCATGAGACCTTCAGTGACATCTTCTGAACCAAATATTACTGTGTTTCTTGGAGGAAATGTAATGCTGACTTGTTTGATAAAAGCTAATCCTTCTCCAATGATTTGGTGGAACTATACGTTAAAACACTTACGAGGGTTTAATGGTAAGTGTAGTTCTGAGGTCAGATATTTAATGGTAAAAAGAGATGCTTATTTTACAATAATTATAAATTTGGCAACTAATTTTTCCTCCCTCTTTGTGGAAATTCTTCTAATCAAAGATTGGTCGATATACCAGTTATGCTGGCTTGTATGGTCCAGTAATGGGAGAAGATCAATTATTGTAGTTTTTTGGTAAACTTGGCTGCCAATGCTTGAATACAAAGCCTACCCAGGACTCGAACCATACTTATACAAGTAAAAGTCATCCTAATTCTGCTGCTAGATCATTTTATCTGAACCTCTTCCTTTTTCTTAGTTTATACCCTGCATTTTTCTATGTTTGAGCTTCCTAAAGCTCAAAACAGCATAATTATTGTTTTCCCCATTTTATCTTTACAGCAATCCCATAAGGTAGATAAGGAAATCTGGTGGCTACCCCAAAGTGACCAGAGAACCTTCATAGCAGGTTGGGGATTTAAACCTGGGTCTTCTCAATCTAACCTAACTCTGTACCACTGACTTTCATCTCTACAACAGCAGATAGAAAGAAGACCAGTAAATCAAATGTGTTATTATATTGGTGAGCCTCACTGACTTTTTTGCATCCCATAACTTATTCTTTAACAATTGTTTCACAACATAACACCCCCCCCTCCCCCCAAATCAGAATGTCAGTCAGACTTCACGGAGTAAGCTTAATCCGATAGATAAGCATATGCTTTCTTTACAAAAAGCCCCACACTTAATCTCTGGCCTCTGTGGTTAAAATAATTAAGTTACAGGTATTGGAAAGACTTGTCCAAGACCCTGGAAAATTGTGGTCAGTAAGAACAGGCATGACTGATTTACATGGGCAAAGTGTCTGAGACAATAAACTAACTTCTAAATTCCCAATTTAGAGCACCCCAATTGTATTTAATTGGATTTCTCCAGTGTTGATGAACCATTGATCACTGCTGAAGATTGTCAATATATGTCATCTGCTTTCTTACAATTTTTTTGAAGTCTGTTCGTATATCGGCCGTGATACAGCACAGACAACTTATCACAAGAACTAAGCATCCTTAACAGTATTGAGCTGTGGTCATTAAGCACAAGGGAATCATGATTACATCCAACTGAAATTAATTTGATCTAGCTGAGTCACGCTTAAACCCTTTTTTCTCTTTCTTCAGCAGGATATGAAGCTATCTCTTGTGGGATCATGCCCTTTTTAAAAATATATCAATACTCTTTAGTATTATTGAAAGCTGAAAGGCAGATATGGATGTATTAGGCAATATTACATAATTTACCTTTGCATATTTGAGGATCAAGGTAGAATCAAGCAATTCATTCAGTTACTACATTTTAATGACTGGGTTAGGGCACAGTGTGGAGAGATTTTAGGCTCCTGTTCCTTGTTTGCCTGCCACTAGTGTTAAAATCTTATGTCCAAAAAGTTTGCCCCTGTCATGGACATAGTTGATTTGTGCCATAACCTTCTGATGATTATGATGTGGGAGGCAGCTGACGTAAGCAGACATGTTATTTATTATTGATTGATTGATTGATTATTAAATTTATATGACATAATAGATTGGTGCACAAAGTTCACTGGTGGACAACAAAAATTTGGTGGGCAAAAGAGGAACAAGAGTCAGATTTTATTTTGTAGAAATACCAGCAGCCATGACATTGACTTAAAACTTGTATGGCCAACTAAGTTTGGGAATGCCCATTTCTTGTCAAGTTTTGGTTATTTTCAAGACTGCTAGCTCTGAAATGAATCTGTCCATCCAATGAGATCTGGAAGAGAAGGCCTGCTTGGGATCCAATTTTCAACAGAGTTCTGTCTGTAAGGAATTGGTAGCTAGGTGGTGGTTGCCTTTCAGCAGGAAGCTCTCATAAATGTATAGATGACCAGTTCCCTGATGTATTTCTGCAGAGATGTGAAAACCTGGCCCTGGGAGAGAGCATTTGGGGGATGCTAAGTGCGGGCCTGCTTCTGGTTGGAAGCATCATTAAGGCTGATATAGCTTTTTCTGCTGTTTTTAATTTGTTTATGATGTACAGTACTCAGAGTTGGTTGGAAAAGAGCAACATAGAAATGTTAGTAACAAACAAATAAATCTTCATTTTTCACCAAAACCCTAAACAAGTTGCATCATACTCTTTGCTATGGTTGGGAAATCTTTCTTCCCTTTGCTTATTGTTCATTTTAAAAATGGCTGTTCGTTTACAGTCAAATAGTTACGTTGTACACATCTAACATACTTGGAAGATAAGTACCTTCAAGTTGCTCCTTCTCCCAATCTCAAACCAACTTTGAGGACAGCTACCATGCATTCCAGAGAGTTATTGTAGTTGAAAACAGAAATTAAAATGTTTGTCTCTTTCTCCCTCCTTCTCTAGTGTCTACTACTCATATGAGTGAAGAGACTTTCAAATCACAATTGGTGATTCCTTCAGCTCAACTTATGGATGAGGGGAATTATACCTGTACAGCTGCCAATTTCCTTGGCAATTCCTCTGTTACCACAATGCTGGACATCCTAGCTCCTCTACCAGTGACATCCTCCTATTCTTCCTCCATCTTGGATGAGAATTCCTACATTGATGTGCAGATTGCCAAGCAGACAGTCTATGGGATTACTCTGGAATGGTATACCATGACTGAAAATCCAGAAGAAATCTGGTATACCCTCCATTTTGGAAAATACGATGATTCCAAGAAAGATACAATTTACATTGGGCCTGGAATTAATACTTATTCCATCAATGATTTGCTCCCTGCTACCAAGTATGAAGTGTGCATAAGTCTGAGAAAGCAGGTGCTCCCAAAGAGCCAGTGTATTGTGTTTGTGACAGGAAGTGACATCAGTGAATTGGAACAGAGGGAGAAGATGATCCACATCATTGTCATCGTATGCGCTCTGGTGTTGGTGGTCCCTGCTATGATGTACCTGTGCACCACCAAGGCCAGGTGCAGCTGCACAGAGAAATGTACTAGCTGCTGTTGCAAGAATAGGAGCAAGAATATCAAATGTGTTCATAAAAAATGCAAATCTGATAGTTTGCCAGTAGGCAGTGAAGAGGGACTATGCCATCAAGACTCCAGTGGTGACCAGACAGTGCTAAAGGAAAGTAAGGAGAAAGAGAAAGCCAACAAACAGACACCTGAGTGTCAAAATGGTGCTGATCTCTATTAGCCATTGTCCATCCACAGCCCCATCTTAGTGAAGGGAAACAGCCTCTAGAAGGATGGACAGAAGTATTCCATCCAGGAGGACCAGTAGATAGATTGATTGACTGATTGATTAATTCAACTTATATGCCCCCTCAGTCATGAAGACAAAGAAGAAGAAGAAGAAGAAGAAGAAGAAGAAGAAGAAGAAGAAGAAGAAGAAGAAGAAGAAGAAGAAGAAGAAGAAGAAGGA